CGAGACGTACTACCTGGACCCCGAGGGGCGCTGGGTGGTCAGCACGCAGAGCACGCACTACCGGAACTCGCGGACGGAGGTGGAGACGCTGCTGCGGCAGCGCATGCAGGGGCTGCGAGCTTCCAGCTGCCCTGCGAGGAGGACGTGCTGGCCAGCGCCTTCGTGGACAAGCCGCTCTGCGTGGCCCGGCAGCTTGCGGAGCTGCTGCAGCTTAGCCTCGAGGAGGTCTGTGCGGACTTCGACACCATGCTCTGCCACGACTGGCGGAGCCTGGGCGTCTCGGCCGAGGAGGTCCGGCAGTTCTGCGTCTGGCGCGACGCCCCTATGCGGTTCCTGAGCTCGCAGGGCGACGTGGTGGACAGCTACGACCCTGCACTGAAGAGACACCGCACCGTGTGCTTCCTGTGCTTCAACGGGCACTGCTACATGTACCGGTGCGTGAAGCGCGTGCTGGAGCGGGATGCGTGGCGCACGCTGTACCGCGGCGAGGCGCGGCAGGAGCTGCCGCCGATAGTCGAGTGGAAGCGTTTTGACCCCGCGCTGCCTTTGGAGCCGGGGCTGTTCTGGTGCGAGGACCTACGGGAGGCGCGGCGAGACTTGATGGCGGCCGGGGAGAGCCCCAAAGTGACCCTCAGCAGTCCCTCCCAGTACAGCGGGCTGAGGCTGGGCGCTTCAGCAGCAGCGGCTGCAGGTCGTAGCTCGGATAAGTCTTGCGAAACCACCGGAGCATCTGCGGCTCGTTGCGAGGTTCTTCTAGGGACATCGTCTCTTGCTTTTCATACCAGTACGCTAGCTCCCGCCGTCAGCCGGTCGTACGCCGACTGCCTCTCCAGCATGCGCATGGCGCGCTCGCTCGGCCGAGGCGCTTCTACAGGCTCGGGCCGTACCTCTCTGTGTACCTCGGACTCGGGCTGTACCTCGGGCTCGGGCTGTATCTCGGGCTCTAGCTTGGGCGCTGGCTTGGGCTTGGGCGCTGCCTTGGGCTTGGGAGCTGGCGCGGCAACTGCCTTGGGCGCAGCCTTGGGTGCTGCCTTGGGCACGGCTTGGGTGCTGCCTTGGACACGGGTGCTGCCTTGGGCGGTGCCTTGGGTGCTGCCTTGGGCGGTGCCTTGGGTGCTGCCTTGGGTGCTGCCTTGGCCGCGGGTGCTGCCTTGGGTGCAGCCTTGGGCGCCGTCTTGGGCTTTGTGGGAAATCTCACCCTCTTGGGCCGGAAGGGGGAGTCGATTTCGTAGGCAGGCAGGTCGGCGATCATTTTTTTGCTCTTCGGCAGGGGCAGAGCTCGGGCGGCTTGGGCTTGTTTTTGCTACCCGGAGGTCTGCCTCTAGGCCTTGGCGCCGGTTGCGCTTGCTTCATCGGGTTTTTTAATAGAAAATATTTTTTTAAAAGACCTTCGAAAAATTAGACGTGATCCAAAAACAGCACGAAGGACAAGGACGAGCCCCGCAGTCGGACGACTTGGCCTTCCAGGTCTGTCAGCCGGAAGCGCAGGTGTCTCAGGGTGATGGGGCCCCTAACGGCCATGAAGTGCCCGTCATCGGAGCCGGTCTCCACGATGGTGCCCACGCCGCTCTTCAGCGTTATCTTGGACAGGATGTCGTCCCCCAGATTGCCCAGCACGCGGCTGGCGTTGGCCAGCTGGGGGCAGCGCAGGTAGACCTCGTTGTAGCAACTCATGCGTACGAACTCAAAGACCTGCTGCCCACCAGAGACGAAGCTCGGGCCGAGCATGTGGTCGATGCTGAAGGGCTTGCTAGGCGGCCGGCGAGGTGGGGTAGTCCACAACGTTAGGGAGCTGCTGCTGCAGCTCCAGATCGTTCAGAATGAGGCGGTTGCCGTCGTAGGCTACGCTGAGGCTGTTCGTGGTCTCGCTGTAGGCGGCAGCAGCGAAGTTGGAGCTGATCCAGGCGGCCAGCCGGGAGCCCGTGTAGGCGCCCTCGGGCAGCAACGCCCAGTTCAGAGTCCCAAGCGCGGCGTCTACCCAGTACAAGTAGCGGCCGCGATCAGTCGACAAAAAGCTGTCGGCCATTCTGATCTTGTAGACGGCCAGCCTGGCGTCGCTCTGCAGGTGCAGGGACTCTCCCAGGTCTACCTCGAAGTCGCTGTCCGAGCCGGCTACCCTCTTGCGGCTGTCCACGTAGATCGTCGTCATTCTTTTCTTTAGGAAGCCACCTGTTCGGCGAACGATGGGTGGCTGGACTGCTGCGACGGAGGTGCAGCAGGAGATGTTTTCACATCTCGCGTTTATCAGCGTGGAGCTGGCGAACAGCTTCTGGCCCAGGAAGCTGAGCGCCGCTCCCATCGGCTTCTCTTTCCAGTGCAAAACGCTCTTCGAAGCGCATGTGGAACATTTGATTCTTTGGCTTGAGGTAGTAGACGAAGAGGAAGCTGTAGGGCTCCCGAGTCGCCTGCTCGTAGATCCTGTGCAGCTTGTCCTTCGGCAACAGGGCGCTCAGCTCTTCGATGACGGCGTCCAGCTGTGCTGGTTGCAGCCTCCAGCAGCAGAGAAATTGCTGATTGACCCGCACGGCTGCGCTGATGAGCCTCAGCTTCTGGGAGCTCACCCAGGTGCTTATTTGCAGGTGCCGACCCCTGATGAAGAGCGTATCCAGGGCGCCGTGAGGTTTGTGGAGCTGTGGGCTATCTGCGAAGTCGTCGCAGATTATAAGCACCTGATACAGCTTGCTGCGCCTGCCACGATTTCGCACGCCCCCCGCCGCGCGCGCGACAACATCCTGTCCCTCTAGTGAGTGTGAGTGAGTGAGTGTGAGTGAGTGAGTGAGTGAGCGAGTGAGTGAGTGAGTGAGTGAATGAGAGTGAGTGAATGAGAGTGAGTGTGAGTGAGTGAGTGTGAGTGAGCGTGAGTGAGTGAGTGTGAGTGAGCGTGAGTGAGTGAGTGTGAGTGAGTGTGAGTGAGTGAGTGTGAGTGAGTGTGAGTGAGTGAGTGTGAGTGAGTGTGAGTGACTGAGTGAGTGAGTGAGTGAGCGAGTGTGAGTGAGTGAGTGTGAGTTGAGTGAGTGTGAGTTGAGTGAGTGAGAGTGAGTGAGTGAGTGAGACGGAGACGAGCGGGAGGAGGAGGAGGAGGAGACGCGGCGCGCGGACGACGAGCGGAAAAAGTAAGAACCCCACACAAAGATGTGGGGAAAAAAGAAAAAAAAAGGTTCCGCAAAAAGGGGTCGCGAAAAAAAGGGAAAAGGGGTCCTTTGGCAAAGCTTGACCTTGCTTGAAATGCAACCTGGAGGCAAACGGCGCATATCTAGGGGTCGTTATGTTGCAGCACGCCTGCACGCACATCGAATCCTTCGCAGGACGAGGTCGTTTCCTGGACGGACGAGTGTCAGGAGCCTACCAGGTGGAATAGAATCCGTTTGGGAAACTCCCTCTAAAGAGAGAGAATCGGCATGTGGGAAAACAAGTGAGCTCTGTTGTGCACCCACCTTTGGTCCCGCGTCCTCTGGATTGCCAGTCGCTTCTTGGAAGCCTTTTGTGGCATGTGACTCTGTTCAGTCGACCCGCGATTGTGCTGAAGGCGGCGCGGCATTACTTGCGTTTTCCGTTGGAAAACCAAGTGAACCCTTTCTGCTAAGCAGGTGGTTTCCCGCTTGAATGTATCTTTCATTTTTATCGTATTTTATATTTTTGTTTCTTTGTCATTTTTGTTGCTAATTTGTTATTATTGAACGTCTATGAAGAGAGAATTGACCGCCTGACGACCATGACCTGTGCCTATTTTTTGCCTTTCTTTAACGCCCAACAGCATTGCCCCGGAGACACTTCTGCTTGAGAGTATGCATGCTGCACAACGGTTTTGGGCCACACCAGCTTGGCCCTGCTTATTCCTGACCGTGATGCGGACACGCATTTCTCCCCCGAACCTTGGATGCGCCAGCCATTTCCAGCTTTCTTTGGCGCGAATGCTTGAGTCTGAGGCCATCATGGGCATCATGTATCTTCGCCTTGTCCGTTCCTCCGGATGTCGTTTTATCTCGCTCCCCGACTTTGTGTATGCTGGCGCCAAATCCTTTTTTTGGTCGGGAGTTGATTTTTTCAAGTACGTTGTGGGTCCCGTGCATGGTCATGTTGTCAATACTTTGGCAACGAAGTGCCATGATGTTGCACCTTTGGTTCAGTTAAATCACATTTACATGATAGGTTTTGCCGTGGGCAGCGTGGATTGCACCACAACTTTCGGCGAATGAGAAATTGAGCAAAGCTCTTGAACTCTTGAAACTATGAATACATATGCAGCAAAACGCAGCAGCGCAACTACTTACGTGCTCAATGGACGTGACGCGTGACATTGGGCAGCACGCGTTTGTGTCAGGGTTTTCGGGAATATTCCAAAATGCAGCAGACACCTTATAGATTTCAGGATTTGGTGCACTTTTATGTTTCCAAACACCTCCAATGCTTGAGCTGTTTTTTTGCTCCTATTTGCGCTGTAGCCGTCAATGACGTCAGTGTTGGCGCAAACAGGAGATGTTCTTTTGTTATTCTGGGCTATTTACGCTACGTTGTGGTGTTACAAGCGTTTTGAGCTTGGACGCGGTGGCTGTGTGCGACGTGTGACACAAAACAGCGCAAAAGACCAATGGACATCGGGTGCTGATTGCTTGAATCTTGCCCATGCAAAAACTTTGCAATACAGCAGCCATGACAGCACTTGGTTTGTGATTGATTTAAGGACCTGGATGCCAATCAAGGGGATTGTATGTCAACAGGATGCTGACAAACAACACCATGTTTCAGGAATGTTCAATCAAGACCACAACAATGTCATGTCGTCGAGTAGTCGAACTTGGCGTGGGATTTCCATGAGCATTGGCAATTTTTGCTGGAGTTGTTTGCCTCAGTTTGGGCTCCGCGTGTCTGTCCTGTATTGAGCATGCTAAGTTGCAACAACCCAATATCTTTTGAGACAGAAACCTCAACATGCGCGGCCAGCACAGAAACAAGCATATCAGTTACCAAAACAATCGTGGTAGCTAGCTTGGCTGTTGACCATGGAGGAAGATAGTACCGACAACTATCGTGTGAAGGCCACTTGTTTTGTTTGCTCGGGTTTGGATTTGTGGATGCATGTGCGCAGGATGTCCGTTTTTTTGGAGCATCGCGGAGGATTTTGTTGCAAAGCAAGTTGGTGACTGAGTCTATTTTGGATGTTGACTCTCCAACTTGGGCATGTGAATAAGCGATGCGGCGATTTCATTGATCTTCTCCCGTCCAGGAACGGGCCCTGCCCCCTGCTTGCGATATGCAATGCATGGAGCCCAGATGTTCCGGAGCACCTTCCATGCTTAAGTTTGATTGGTACGGTTCGAGGTGCTACTTTTGCGGAACATTCTGAGCATCAGCCCTGATACCAGGCTTCTGAACTTCATAGTGTTTGCCGTCAATTCATTTCGAGACACTTCACACAAAGCCTTCGTCTGACTGGCGGCAGAAGGAAGGTATCTTTGACAGGTGAGTCTTTGATTGGGTCAATGTCGAGGTATATCTCCTTCGGCGAGTTGGTTCAAATGGTGTCAGATTGGATCTTCGAAGCCAACAGCAAAGAAAGTGCCTTGGTTGATGTGTTGCACTGTGGGAGGGGAATGCCTTGACCTTTGGTGGTAAGGTGGCGGAGATAGCGCGCCCCCTATGCGGTGCTTGTTCAGATTGTTGTTTGCAATCTCAGCATCCAGCTTATCCCAGCATTGCTCAGCAGCACCATCTCTGCGATTTTCCGCTCCGAAGGTCCTCATGCTGCAAACTTGCGCGAGAGTTTGAACTCTTGCCTGGAAGTCTTGCTGGGGGCCTAGTGAGCTAGAATCTCAGAATCACCCGAGCCTGTTCTTTGCTCGAGGCCAAAGTTGAATGTTGGCCTAGATGTGAATTGCCGATTTGGAGGCTTGCAGCTTACACTGCACAGGTGATTTATGCTGATGTATATTTTTGCATATATTGGTGTTTGATTAGAGTTGCTTGATAATTGCTAAACATTGTCAGTGTCTGTTTCGGTGCCGCCAATGTTTGTCGGGTTTGGGTGATGCACGGCATAATGATCTGACGACTTTGTTGACTGAAACAACTGCAGTAGCAGCAACCTCAAGTGCTGTGTTTAGAGCAATATTTGGATTGTGGACCGCCTTCAAACAGACTACCCTGTCGCTTGTGCCAGGGGTGACAGACTTTGAGTACACCCAAGAGACCACAGTGTTTGACATGCGCATTGCTCAGATTGTTTGCTTCGATGAACGAGTGGCGTGAAAGCGTCGCTGGGACTTTGATCCACCAAGGCTGGATATCGCTCTTTATCACGCTTGGATCGTGCCAAAGGAGGCACAGTTGAATCGGATGGTGGGAAGCTATTGGCCCAGTCAGTGGCGCGGCGTCTTGCTTCGGGAGTGTTTCAAGGAATAAAGGAAGGGCAGCATTTTTTTGTGAGGTAGGAGTCAGTAGATCCCGGATGTGTGCTGCATCTTCTGGCAGTGCGCCAGGACACAAGATCCTTTGCTGCCTTTGGACATCTCTCCTACAATCAGGTTGTGGAGAAGCTCATTGCATATGAGGAGCAATCTCTACTACCTTACTACACCCTTGTCCTTGGAGTCTGCTTTGGTTTTACCTGCATGTCTTGTTGGGTTTTTGTAGTAGGTGATGTGGGGATGCACCGCATCATCAATTTGAAGACCCCGCCCAAAGGAAACGTTGCAGTCTCTCGTGTTGTCAAGAGCTTTATTTAGATGCAGTCTTTCTGGGGCGAGTTTTGCAACTTCAATTTGGTGGGAGGGCGGTTGGGGGTGGGGTTGGCGGTTGAGCAGGTGATTAATAGAGAGGAATGACAGAGCGAGGCAAGGAACTGGGAGCTAGAATAGAAGTAGGACATGGATTTGAAAGCGGAACGTGGATTGATGGGATATACATATATACATATACATAGATAGATACATATATATATATATATGCATAAATCAACGCTTTTCAAACGTAGCTATTATTGTGATTCTTTTTGTAGGCTGTGTAGCTGTCACCATTCACAATATCTAGGCAGGTGGTTGCTGCGTGGGTGGGTGTGGCTGGGTGTATGACTGGGTGGATGGCTGCGTGGGTGGACGGGTGGAGTGTTTCTCGTTTGTCCGCTGCCGAACACTTTCCGGGACAGTTTGGGGCCGGAATTACACTCAACGGGTACCGGAGCTCAGCTCTCCCATGTTGAGAATTCCGCTGCAGGTTCGACTGTTATCCGGGACAAGCCTTTGTTCTCATATGCTCTTTGAACTTTTTGTGGAGTATTGATGAATGTACTGGTTGACATGCCTGCAGGCCAAACACGAACTATTATTTTCCCAACATGTCTTCAGAACGACTCCGGACTCCGGACTAACAATCCAGTAGTGCCTAGACAGCTCAAGCAGCAAGCCACCACAAATTAGTTCAACAAACGTGGAAGAGAAAGAAGAGCTGGACAAAACGCGTATGAACGATAAAGTCCACTGCATGCTGGCCCCTTGAAACAGAAACAGAGCTTCCCTACACTGGATGCAACATGTCTATTCAATGTCAGGTATGCTTCAGCTCAAGTCACCGTGTTGCGATGGCGGATCAATGGTTGGTCATCCCATTTGTTGTTTGCGTATTTACTCGGCAAGAGCAAGTCTGCACGGGATTTTGGGAGATACTCTTTCTTGAATCCTAGTCGGCACGACAGTGTTCGTGTCTGAATTGTGAATACGTCAACTTTTTGTGTGGAACATTGCATCACAACCATGCGACAATTGACCTGGAATGAAAGATTGAAGCCTTGGAGCTTCGTTCGGCCAGGAGCTTTGTCAGGGTGAGGCTAAAGGCACGTGTTCGAAGCCAAAAAGGCACGTTTGGGGTGTGCCGCATGAGGCCCAGATCCAGAAAACGAGAAGCTCCTGGAAGATGGTCTTCTCATTAAGGCCAATCAGACTGAGTTGACTGATTGCAAGTCATGCGCCGTTTCACCCCAGGAATTTCTGGAACGTCGGAGCCTTTGCGAGATTGTTGCAATGAACTCAGCTCTCTCCTTCTCGCTCTTTCTTTCTCTCTCTCTCTGATTTTTGTTGGCAAAGCGCTGAGCCTGTTTTGCTTGGCTTCTTGCCAAGGAACCCAGACTCAGATTTCCTACGAGGGATTGCTGGTTCTATTCTCAGGAAGCTCTGAGTAATGATGTGCCTCTTGATTCGCTTTGGTGCTGACAAAGACAAGCACGACTTTGACCCGCATTTTGGCTCCAGCATATGGAAGCACTTGGCTGTGTAAGTCCCACGTTCATGGCGTGTTGTGTCTTGCTGCCTATGGCACCGCTGCTGGCCGCACCACCCGACTCTTTCAGTCCAACAGGCAGAGAGTGATGTGCTTGGTATTCGTTGCAATGTGGCATCGAGTAGGTGATGTTGCAAGGGTCCATTCTAGGAGGCAGGGTTAATCCACATAAGACTTAGTCACAGCAGGATCTTCCGAGCTCTCAGACATGGAGACTATTGGTCCTCCACAGTCTACGACAGCCTGGACCATAGTTTGTCAATTGTGGAAGCGTTAATGGACCAAGCTTTGGACTGTATCAGGCAATGAGTAGCAAATTGGCGCGTTCTGTGCCTGATGATGACGTATTTATTAGCTCTCATGTTGATTGCAAGTGGCGCAGCCCAGATGTGTCTTTCTAGTTTCGCTGCTAGGCATTCCGCGAGTGGAAGCATGAGGGCAGCCCTGCAGGGGATGCTGCGGAGACGGTACCTGGATTGTTCAGCTCCTGGCCTCAAATCGAGTCCAGTTGATTTTGGCAAGCCGATCGCAGCCGAGGTCTCCTCAGCAGTGTGGGCCTTTCAAGTTACGAAGTTGCAGCAGAGGCATGGTGCAACCAGATGGGTGCGGCCCATTTGGCAGAGCTGGCAGAAGATGAAGCTACCTTGAAGTCCTTTGGTGAAGCCTTGGGAAGCAAAGGCGGGCTCCACGCTGTCAGAGCATGCTGCAACTTCTTCAGTGTGTGCAGGTGGGCTATCAGATGCTGCGCAACGGCGCTTGAGCAATGCATTGAAGGAGAGCCTTTTTCGTATGGCGCGAATTGTTAAACCACGCATGCGCTGGTTGAGCATAGCCCGTGGTTTTGCAAGTTATGAGCTCACAACCTCTCGACAGGAAGCGGCCGGAGGCCATTTTCGGCCAAGTCCAAGGAGCATTGCAATTACAAGCATTTCTTTTTATGTTGAGCGTTTTGTTAGCAATCCGGCTGGTGGGGGCAGGACTGTGGCCTGCAAATTGCGAAGCAACCAGTCAGCATCCAGTGACAGCCAGTGCAACCTGTGCAGTGAGGGGGGGGGAGAGTTGTTGGACAGGTGCCCGACTTGATGCCCGCCAACGCGGAGAGATCCAGACCTGGTAAAGTACCAGGTGGTCAACTGCGCAGCGCACTGCCAAAGGAATACAGGCCGCGCAGGTTTCCGCGTTCTTGTGGCACCTTGCTATGCCAGGCTCGCATTTTGCGGCAGTCAAGCACAGCACTGTGGAGCTACGTGGTACAACAGGTAGATGATAGATGCAACTGGATCCACGAAGGGTCATATTTCTTTGTGATTCTAGTGACACGTGTTGACATGCTCTTGAGACAGCAAGTGAGGGTTCAGCCGCGCTTCTGAGCTGAGGTTTTGACCCAAGCATGCACTGTTTCACTCTGGGAAAGTGATGGCCCTCGCAAAGTCTGCACCTCGCAAGCGCAACAGCTAAGAGGTATTCATCAACTTTCAAGCCAGAACTTAATAGCATTCGTAAGCTGCAACAATCACCCAAGCAGAGTTGGATCAAAGTATGCATGGTTTCCAATTTGACTACATGCCGTGCGACCGTGCATCAGAGCAAGCACTGTGGAATGCCACCTCAAGCATGGCAAATGTATTGCAGGGTTGCGTGGGCTGGTGAATTGCCTGCTCTCAGCTTACATTGTCATTTGGCCAGTTGTCTTTGACATATCTGGGTTGTTGCCAACTCACAGTGTTTGAGCCTTTGCTGAAATGGGTGACTTTTGGACAGATGTCATGGCCACATCTTTGACAGCTCATTTGTACAGTTTTGTACAGCGCCCGCCACTGCAATTGCCGTGTGAGGGCCCAGCCATATAGCAAGCACCACAGCAGTGGGATGAGGCATAGTGAGACAAAAACACTGCTTGCAGGCAAATTATGTCTGCGCGCTCCAAGCGAAGTTTTCTCTTGCAAGCCCAAACAATCAGCCAAATGCAACCAAGGCGTTGCATGAGGCAGTCCGTGAGCGACAGCTGGCTGTTCGATACCCGGGCAGCACTGACAAGATGCGAGATGGCAGTACTTCTTGTGGGCAGGTCTTCACACCTCTGCCTCCAAGGTGTTTTTCAGAAACTCTCATTTCAACACCATCCTGAAGTACAACGGATCCTTGTCCGCAGCTTGAGCAGATCGGACCATGTTTACAGGACACTCATGCTGCCAGATGTACGTGTGCACTTCAGGCGCGCTGGTCTGATTTGGCACTTTTGCAACATTAGGCATCGCTTTTTGAGGTGAGGTCGTGGATACCTTGCAGTGTTCTCAACGCCGCAATTGCTGGTCCATGTAGTACTGCGTTATATCTATGAGATGCCAGCTTGCTCTGATGTACCGATTTTAAAACTTGCAGGAGTCATTGCAGGGTCCCATGAGGTAGGGCACGGTCATGTAGAGCGAAGCCATGCTCTACCAGTACTGTCACTCCTCGCTTCCTCCAACCCATCTTAGGAAATCTTTATTTGCTGTGCCACGCTCTTAGATGGACTGATCCTTTGCAGCCATCAATCCTGTGAATGAGGCAGGCAAGGTAAGGAAGGAGCACACTGCAATGTATTCTCCGTTTTTGAGGTACAGACATTGCATTTGCAAATTCGGACTTGCTTTGGGAGAGATTCACAGAGGCCTCATTTTTGCTTTCATGCAATGCGTGGTTGGATTATTTGTCCTTGTTGCAGGTTGACGGCGACACTGATTATTGTGATGCAGAGTTCCGCTCTAGCGCAGAGGAGGGGGTCTTGTTTGGTTTTCCCTCGACTGGCCAGCTTGCGTTTTGGGCAATCCTTTGTTGCACTGGGCAACTTTGGGTGAGCTTTACTCGCGCCAGGCCGCACAAGCCCCGGCACAGGTGCGCTGCAGTTTATGTGTGGGCAGCATGAATGAGTCGTTCAGCTTAGGCAATTGGGCAAGGACCTGAGCAAGCAGCTCAGATGACAACTCAGTTGGACGAGCTAGAACATATCTGGCAGGGACTCTGATGCGCAGCTAGCCTGGCGTATGATGCAGGAGGACTACAGCTTTGCAGTTGTGAAGATTTAGTCCAGTTGATTTATTTGGGTGAAGGTGAAAAACATTAGCAAAGCACTTGAATCACTACCTTTCAGCTTGCACAGCACATGCAGGAGCTGCAAGAGCAGGAGGACGAAGCTTTTGTGCCTACGACTAAGCACTGGCTGACAAGCTTGTCGCTTGCCGTTTGTACCTTTTCACTCTTTTAAATTCAACATCTTTCTTTTTGGGACCAAGGCAGGCACAACAAGTAGCGTGGCAAGAGGCGCAAGCTGCGGCGAAGGCAAAGGCGACAGCAAAGCCAAAGGCCAAAGCCAAGGCGCGGAAGTTTTAGTTTTCTACGTCTTGCAAGATTGTCCTTGGCCAAAGTCCCATGAACAACTTGCCCAGGGCCTCGTCTACCAATTCTAATCATGGCTGCCTAATGGTTCTGCAATCAGCATCTTAGGGAAGCTTGTAGACTGCTAATTATCGTGGGGTTGCTCTTGCCATGCCTCTTGCAGTGTTTATTTATTGCTTTGAGTTGGCAATGAATGAACGCGCACATCACACTTTGACAACACAGCAGCAATCTCTGTCTATTCTCGCAGTCGTGATGAAATGTGATGGCCGTTGTTGAATTGACCAGTGCGTGTTACTCCAAGTGTGTGCGCGAAGTGTGTATGTGTGTAGTGTGTAGTCTGTGTGTGTGTGTGCGCGTGCACACGTGGCTATTTGCAGGTGCACCCAGCACGGACCTGAGATTAACTTTTTGCACATTATCTCTAACATTATCAGAAGATGTGTGGCTCTTGCAAACTGTTTGCTTTTCTCTTTTGAGAGCGAGCGCCATCAGTAGCAATCGAGCCCACATAATTGCAGCGGAGAGACGAACCAGCTTTTTGGTCAGCAATCAGCTTTGCGCTTGCAAGGCCCCGCAGCCTGCGGCAACCGACCCAGAAGGCGCATGAAGAACAAGCCGGAGTTGAATTGAAATGTATTGGATTCGATGATTAGACTTCTTATGATTTTTGCCGAGCTGGGGTGCATGATCAAAGGATGTTTAGAAGGAACTTGGAACTATTTGAGCTAGCTCTGTCAAAGAAGGTATGCACCTGCGCGTGGTCTTTGAGACGAGATGCACTCGGAGTGGTCTCGTAGAAATCATTGCCCCGATGTTTTCGCCGATTCCAGTTGGTCTGGCAGTGGTTCACTTACTCTCTCACGTTCATTTTCGGCAGTGCATGTGGGCACCATGCTTCAGCAAACAATCTGGAAAAATCGTTGGCTGCCATGTACGTGGAAGCACAGCTCCAAATCTTTGGGCTCGCCATAACTTTCAGCCAAGTTGCAAAGCAGACCGTTGTGTTGCCTTTTGTTTTTCTCGCTTATCGCATGCTGCTTTTCTAGACCCTTAAGAATCTGGATCTACACCAGGGAAATAAACATGTGCGTACAGGAATCCAAGAAGGACCGGATTTAGGGATTTGGGGGCTCCATGTGCCAGGTGTCGGGAAGAAGAAAAAAGGAAAGCACCGGCCTTACAGACTAATGCGATTGTTGCTGGCAACATGTTGAATTGAAGAGCGATGGGTACGTTATACCTGATCTTTGCTGGTGCAGCAAATTGGTTGTGATTGGATGCAAGTAGAAACTTGAGAGCTTCCATCCTCGGCTTTGTTTGCTGGACAGGGCCTGCATCGTACAGTGACCTTCCCTTTTGCTGGCCGGTCGATGCCACTTTTGTACACTGTACAGTGCTGTGTGCAGTTTCACTCTGGGTCCGTGGCGGTCCATGTCGAAGTTCAGACGCGCGGACACTTTAACAATCTTTGACCCCAAGAGCGTTTTGGAAAAGAATGGCCAGCTTGCCGAGACCTTCAACTGGGTAGCATGAGGCATGGGCATGATTGCAGTTTCTTAATTGACAAATGCACCTGCAGCTGATTCAGCTGATCAAAGCGTTGACGCAGACACACCCACACGCACATACACACACACACACACGTGCGGAATGATGTGACAACTGCATAGATAGGTGTGTGCATATATATATATGTAGACATAAATACATTATAGTTTATACACATGTACCTGCATTCTACATGATTTGCTTTGTGCAGTGAGTTGAAGCTAGACTGACTGCACCAGCTTCGTTTTTGGTGATAGAGCCCAGAGCTTCTTCATAATGGAGATTGCTGCGGGTGCGCCTGTCCCAGTTCAAATCCTGGTGCCGGCACATGTCAGGCAGGCTTCATGACCGAGTATCTGACATCCTGCAGGGGTCCATGAGAGAGTGATTTGCTTCTGATAGGTCCCTCGCATCGGCTGACTTCACTCGGAAAGTTCCCTGCTAAGCGAACTGCCAGCTGAGAAGTGGGGCAAGGTGTGCAGCAAGGCGTGCTGTGTGACATGCCCAGGCCAAGACCTGGGCCTTGACGGGCAACGTGCGATGCAGCGCAGTGCAGTTTTCTCAGCGCACTGTGCAGATCCACTTTTGTGCAGATTGGATCAGGAACAGAACATGTTATCCTCAAGGAGCATTTGGGAGATGATACATGACCATTGTTATGCAGTTCTTTCTTGGATATTGCTCGCAAAGGACTGCACTCCTGTTGCCAGTCACATGGCGGTAGGTTTTCATGCGGTCTTACAAGCGTAAGTGTCGTACCAAGACGCAGCCAGTCTTGTCAGCACCTTGGCTGCGAAATGCGAGCCAAGGTTAGTCTTCCTGGCTTCGCGAAAAAGTCGTCGCAGTGCCCGTCGTGTCACTGCAATGAAGGACTGGAGCTTGCGATATTTTCAATCTTGTGGGCTACAATGCGAGCCCTCAGGAAGGATGTGTGAACCTAATGTGGTGAAGGCTTTGCACGGTTGCAGTACGTGTTAGAGAATGCGGACCTTCCCATGTCGCCTTGTTTGGGGCTATCGTCAGTTGGCATGATTCATCTTCCAATTGCATGGCCGTTGCCTGAAATCCAGTCCTGTGCTTCCAGGACGGAGCAGGCTTGCCGCTGCTGCAGAAGCTTGGCGCAACAAACGGATGTGGGGTGAAGCTGGTTTTGAGTTCTCGTGGTCGTCCAAGTACTTGTCATGAATATCGTCGCCGACTTTTGGAACTCCTAGCATTTCATGGGCTTTAAATGAAATTGCCGAGCAGCCATCAGAGTGAATCAGTGTGAATTGGCACGTGCCCACAAGAATCAAAGGAGGGTGCAGCGATCCTTGAGGCTGGCCGGTGTTTGACCTATGCTGACACCAGTGCTTGTGATCATACATACGGAGACACTAGGAGGCTGCAGGGTTGTCCTTGTAAGAAGGTTCTAAACACTTTTTTTGCTTTACCCAGGCTTCAACCGTCTTTTGCTGCTCTCCTATGAAAGGCAGCAAGTTGACATCACTGGCTTGCCTCGTACTCTGTTCAGGTTCTACTCAGCCATTGTTCCAGTGCTCAGAGCCCAGCATGTCAAACGCATTTTGCCGCACAAATTGGCTTGCTGTACTGAGGCTCGGTCAGTATTCCTTTCGACCCTGGCTGCACAGCATAGGCCTCCGGCCTTCCTAGTAATCATGACTACCCGGTATGACCTTGCAAGGCCTGGAGAAGAAAGGTGGAGATGAGCTTATGGCTGAGATGGATGAGTGGGGGTCGCAGAGGTTGCCACCTTAGGTTTGCCGCAGGGCCAGCACATGGCATTCGATATTTTCCCATGACACGCCTTTTGCCTCAGGCTGCAGGAGACACTGCTTGACCTGGGTGGCTTCTATGTAAAGACAGGGCAGGTGAGAGCTGACCTTTGTGCGAGCCAAACCCGCAGTCTGGCATTGCTGGCAAAGGTACTCTCCACCCGCGTAGACTTATTCTCCAAGCCGTGCGCTGGTTTGAATTTTGATCTGCGCGCATGGAACACTTGGTCCATTCTGAAGTAGGTACACACAGCGCCTGCAAATTCTGCAGGCAAGCGAGTTTTCACTGGCTCTTTCAGGCTTCTGCTTGCTATCAAATGAATTTCAATTGTACAGGATAGCCTCCCGCCCGTGGATGCCAAAGAAATTCGGAAGGTCATTTGCGAGGCCTTGCAGCAACACATATAGTGCTTCAGCGACCGTCGATGGCCAAGGAGTTGTGTGGTGGCGGCGATTTGTCAGAGCTGCTGAAAGAGCTGGACGAAGAGCCATTGGGCACTGCCTCCATTGCCCAGGCAAGCAACACATTCTCTCGGCTGAATGCGCTCGCGTGTCTCGCATGCGGCAAGGTGCACCGAGCAGTTCTCAATGATGGCCGCGAGGCCAGTCTTTTTCTTGGTCAGACGAGCGCTTTTGCAATGATTGCATGAGGGCTTCGTTTTGGTTGGGTTTGGGAATTGGATGAACGGATCATGCATGCTCAGTTGCTTAGATACATTCAAATCATGAGCCTCAGACCTGTCCGCAAAGCAGCAAAGGCTAGCGAGTCCTTGTGTGAGAGTTGGGGGTCTCTTTGTCAAAGTGGCAGCGGACAAGTTGCTCGTTGTTCATGCAAAGTTGCATGTCATCTTAGGGCTTTTTCGAAATTGGTGGCCATGACACCTTTGTTCTGCCCTCAAACTGTTTTGCTTGCTCAGCATGAGCAGCTGCAAAGACCTCCTTGACACTGCAAGTAGTCATCCCAAGTCTTATACCATGTGCCAGCGTAAAACAAATGGCACATGAACACACTGGACTTAAGATCCCACCCGGTGTCGATGCATCATCGATACAGAGCTCCTAGGTGGCCATCAAGGTCCTTCGGCCCAACATGGAGCCGGTGCTGAGAGGTGTCAGCCTGTTGCCACCCTTCTTGGGAGTAGAGTTTGTCAGGTGACCTGGCTAATCTCAAAGCTTTTGCTTTGGCGCTGCGTGGAAGGCCAAACATCCGTCCTTGCGCTACACATTCAATGCTAAGCACAGGCTCCCAGTGGATTACTATCCGGTGTTTTGCGAGCTGGTGACTTAGCAGCTCAGTTCAACTGCTCCAAAAGTGCGAGCATGAGCTGAGGCTCGAGCGTGCCTTGGATGGGGAACTCGACTTCCTCAGCGAAGCTCAATCTGCGCTCAAGGCCTGACAGTTTGGACCATGCTGCTAGCTCATGCTTGCACCATTGGCACATTTTGATGCTGTATTGGCTCAAGTTTTTTCACGTATTCAGGAAGCCAGTGAAGCTAGACACGTGCTTAAACCTTACACCATGTCAGTACACATGCCTCTTTATTTCGCTGCTGCCCTTTCTCTCAGCATTGCACTTTGCATGCACGCTGCATGGGAAACGCCTGCACCCACCCGGGGCAAGACTCTGAAGAGATCGATCTGTGCGAAGAGGAGAATGGAGTTGCTTGCAGTTTATGCTTTGCATTTGCGAGATAATGGTCCAGATCTTGCTTTTGAAAGGATCCCTGGCCTGCAGATGACCTGCTGAACAACTTGCCAGTGGCACCACGCTTGGCAATCTCAAGCATTGATGTTAACAAGTAGGACTTGGCAGGCCAAGGCAGACAGGGGGCAGGGCTAAGAGAAAGAGTTTGGTAGGCAGGAGGCCATGGCTGGCAGGCTTTTGATTGACTAGCAGGCCGCTTGCAGGCAAGGCCAACTCGCAGGCCAATCCTTCCAATCCCTGCATATGCGATCATACGGTTGAATGCGAGAGTGCCAAGTGAGGTTTCCCCAGAGAGGAATAATCCGGCTTTGAAGCCGCGGCCAAAGCAGAAAGTTGTTCGGCCAGAGGCGTGGACACAGTATTTCGATGGCTTGTTTCTGTTCAGTTTCACTCTCGTTCCAGGGATCAATTCTTCCTTTGCAGAAGGTGCAGGATGAGGCCAGCCTTGAAGCTCTGTGACTCTGTGATGCGTGATTCGCCTGACGCGGCAGTCGCCCTGGGGCTCATCGCGGATTCGCGTTTGCTCGCAGCGCCTCATAGATAGGCGCGAGTCAGAAGCCTGTCTTTGCTGGTGCCAAAAGTAAACTACGGCGCATCTTAGAGTGACACAGCCAGGCCCAATTTTAATGGTCTTTGGCAGTGCTTTGAGACTCTGGGGGACATGGACGCCTTGATGGTGTCTCTAGAAGTCAGTTGGGCAAGACGTTCCTTGCCTAGAAGATAGCTGTATTCTGGATGTGGATCTAGCAGCTGGACATGTTTTCTGGATGACATGTGAGCGCTTTTACTTTGCAGCATGCCTGTTCTCAATATCACCGATTGCTCAAGCAGAGGTTGTGCGGCGTCTGCGATCAGCTATGGGGCAGGCGTTGGACTGCAGTTTTCGCAAGTGTACCAGACTTGCTGAAGTGACATCCAGTTGAGAGAGTGAGTGAGTGAGTGAGTGAGTGAGTGAGTGAGTGAGTGAGTGAGTGAGTGAGTGAGTGAGTGAGTGAGGGAGGGAGTGAGGGAGGGAGGGAGGGAGGGAGGGAGGGAGTGCGTGCGTGCGTGCGTGAGTTGTTAGTGAGTGAGTCAGTGGGAGTGAATCCTGACCACCATGTAGGCTACGTGAGCAGAAGAATTGCTCAGAAGGGTAATGAGATGGAGATGGAGGCGTTGCCTTGATGGCGCTGCAGGTTTTCGGCTTGTGCGTCTCACAGAGAGCAGTCCGCAAGCCTGCGGGTGATGACTTGCAAGTGCATGCTTGGAGGTCATAGGCACCCCCAACGACTTTGTGCAGAAGTTTCAGGCGCGGGCAATGTCATTGTCAATTGGATTTTTCTCACTTACCAGGGTTCCGTTCTGGGTACCTATTTTTGACCCACAGCCAATTGTTGTTCCTGGCATGAGTGGCCCGAGGTGGGAGCTGGCTGGCAAACGGTGACAGGGCCAGACAATCCCATCAAGATTCTCCCAACCTGGGAGGAAGGCCGAATCTTGCGAATAGAGCAGACGCTTTGCTGATTTGACTTGAGCTTCATACAATGCCTTTGTGTCAACCGCACGCATGCACAGTCTCTTGCTCTCTCTGGGTGAGCTTTCCAGTAGCAAGGACAGAGTTGGATGGCACTTACCCGGTGCTTTTGCAGCAACTGAGAACCGCGCAGCAAGTCATGTATTTTCCTGAGACGCAATGAATATCATGATTTGCGCATGCTTGCGGCTGAGGTGGTTCTAAAGCATGCTATTCATGACTTCGGCTTGTCAATCACTATGATTGCCAGCGATGGCATTTCTGGTAGCTGGACTCTGGGCTGCATGAAGTTGCATGAGAGTTTTGAAGCAGAATTGCGACAATCATATTCGATTTGGCAGGAAGTTCCGAAAGGAACAGTGAGCACAACGATAGAGACTTTTGGCACAAGCGGACCGTAGCATTGGCAATGGCCCGTAGGCTTTTCCAGCAGCTGAAGCTGCATAAATTGGGCTGCAAATAGTACGCTTTGCATGAATCCGTGGTGCAGCAGCTTTGCAAGTACTCTACCACGAACGTGAGGGACTCGGCCGTGAAACGTGTCCAGATGGCCACTCGTCGTTTGTGGGTGGTGAAAGAGCATTTGTGCATATGCAAACGCGCTTCAAAGTTGTTTTTCCCTGCACATTCCATGCATGGGTGAAAATCGCCCGCGTGCAACTTGCTGCAGACGCGCCCAAGATGCCACTGTCAAGCCATGTCGCGTTGTACATTGAGACTTGCAGGTGGCCGCCTCCATTCGTCACGATCCTCTTGGACGAGAAGTAGACTCGCCACTGGCTTGGGGCTTAATTAGTGCCTGGATTTGCCACAGCCTGGCACCACGAAAAGTCAGGTGGTTCCGTTGCCCATTCCGGGCATGGCGACGCGGAAGGTACTAGGCTCGAAAGTAGAGCGTTGCAGAAAAGCAGCTTGCGTCGGAGACGATTGATGTCTCATCTCCCGTGTCGTCAGTCATGGACTTTGTCAAGGGCACTCCCCTGTCAAAATTAGAGGACAGAGCGAAGGAGCGATTGAGCCATGCTTCGTTTCCGAATGCAAATAGAGGCTTCGTGGAAGCTTTGATCCATGAAGGAGCTGGGCATTGACCTTGGAAGCAAAGCCGGCAAGGTGCAACCATGTCATTCTTCCACGTGTGGATTTCTTTCTGGAAATTTGAGTCAGCCTATCATGCATGCTATGATGCGGGCCAATGCCAAGACAGACAGGCTGCCCAGACCAAGTCTATGCGAAACCAATCAGAGCGTTGCCGTGCGATATGTGTTTGGCTCGGATGCTGCTAGCCCATTTGGGCACGGGTTCTTGACTTGGTCTCATGACGAGCAAGCTTCTCGACGTGACGTGTTTATTCCTTTCAACACGCTGCAGTTTGTACTCCACACGCCTTCAAGACCTTCTGCTGCCGGGTGAATCAGCTTGCCCGCAAGCAGACTAAACCTCAATAGTCACGACATAAGGACAAGTGGGTCGACACTCGCAGCTACTGGTTACTTGGAGTTGGCGTTGGAAACATAGAGCCATGGCCGCGCTGTCGCAAGGCATGGATATGGAGGGCGTGCCTCGTCTGAAACAGACGAAGGATAATATTCAGCTGAATTTGCCAAGGCCAAGTTCTCCATGATCAACAGTATGTTGGGCACTGAGTTGAGGTCCTAAGCAAGGAGTTTCTGGGGTTGGCAAGCTAGTTAGTCGGCCGGCTGGTTGGCCTGTTTGTTGTTTTGTTAGCAAAATCCTCCCCAGCATCGCCTGGACCGGTGCCTGAAAGCACATGTAGCCATGGCAGCAACTTCGAATCTGACGCAAACCAGCCGTAAGCCAACCCCCAAATCGATCCCAAAGCTATCCTGATTCAAGCTGTGGCCACCCTAAAGCGAAGACACCTCTCCACCTAGAGAAACTTGCCTTTGTGTGATGGAGTCTGCAGACAACATATTCTTATGCCAAACTTGAGGCGTAGCGGCAATGCATTGTATGACACACTGCAACTTGGAAGGGACTTTGGACAATGGGCAGACCCGAGTTGCAACAACTTAGCTTCTGCCAAAGTGATTGCCAGCTGAGGATCGCAATGCTCATTCCGCTGATTTTCAAGCTGCGGCTCAGCGTAGATGTATTTTACTGCACCGAAATTGGAGCCATTTTTGCAGCTTGTCTCTTTGTTTTCGGCGGGCGGCATTTTTCTTTGTGGCTTTTTCTGGCTGTTTGTGGCTGCTTGTGGCTTTTTGTGGGCTTTTGCGGCTTTGGTGGCCGTTTTTTGGCTTTGTGCATCCTGCGACTTTTGACAGCTTTCAAGTATGGCATCATTTCCACAATTCGGCCGGCTGCTAGTTTGAGGTGGGTTCAGATGACTCACTTTGTCAGTAGCTCATTGAATTTTCCATTTATATCGTTGTTTGTGTTCTTATTGGGTTGTGGTAGATTTGTTGTTTGGCTTTGTGACAACCTCAAACCATTTTAGAGCCACCTCGTGACTTGTCATCGACCCTAAGCCCACCCTTATCCAACCACAACTAAACTCGCCCTAAACCAATCCCAAACCAACCCGAAACACCACCCAGAACCAACCGAAAGCAAACCCTAAGCAAACTACGAACCGACCCCAAATCCACCTAAGCCCACCAAATCAGCACTGAACACCATCCCTAAAACATGCGAAGCCTACCCAAAGCAACCAATTTAACCCTAAACAAACCCCAAGCAAACCCAACGCCAATGCTAACTCCCTAAACCAACCCTAAACTCACCCTAAACCGCCCAAACTATCCTACCCGAAACCTCCTCCTGCTTAATTGGGGTTGTAACAAAATCGATGCCGAGGATGTGGACGGTGCTGGTGGAAAACACCTGCATTTGATGAGCAAACAGCATTTTAATGCCCAGAACACGGAACAAGAAACACATTATTTCCTGAATGAAATCTCGACCCATCGAAATGTCGCTTGCTACACATGCAACCGTCGCAACAGCGTCAGGCTCTTTGATGGCGCATCCAGCATACAGCCGGCCCTCAATACCCTGAGCACCAAGCTGAAGACATGCTGCAGGCCAGTTAAGGTCCTCATGTTCTTCAAATGTCCAGTGTTGGAATATAGCTGTTCATTTCATTTGTCCGAGCATGTAAGTGGCAAATTACTTGGGGTTGAGTCCGGGAGTCATGCCTGTGAATCTGCGAGGAGGCTTCCGCCTGAGTACTTTGAGAGGACGATCCAGGCTCGTTCAAGTCTGAACTCATTACATTTTTCAGTTGCACATGAGTATGATGAGATGTTCCAGGTTGAGCAAATGCGGCGTAGCGATGGCTATTTGTACACACCTGGTGATGATCGATCTGGAGTTCTGTTGCGTGCTCTCAATCAGTACATTGCGGACAAGCAGGTGTCCTACAAGAGTGCAGTGATGACGCTGGAAGATCATTTTGCAGAGGTGGAAATTTGTGATTCCAACGATGACGACGATGACGATCCTGAGAAACATACAGAGATCGGTTACTTGAAGACGTACTACAGGATCACGCAAAAGGCACCAGAGGACAAGTGGCTGGAGATCGAAAACGGGCTGGAACTCTTCATCAATGTGGAAACTGAAGACCGTCCGCCAGAGAAAGACCACGAGTCTTGGCCTTGACTGGCTTTGATGATTGGCTTTGTTTGCATCAACGTATCTTAATGAAGCGCATTGAGGCGCACCTACCAACCAAAGTCACCACCAAAATGAGTATCAAGGCTCTGGATGAGAAGCAGGCCGCACAGTCAGGGGACAGGCATGTGATGCAGAGGCGATGATATGGGAAGGTGATTTAAAGAAATGACTGGAGATGCGGGAGCGCGAGAATCAGGGTGGAACCGACAACATGCTCGGAAACAGAGAAGGCAACAGGAGATACTGCATGTTGAAGCCGCAACAGAGCTGGGACTGGATGAACAACTTAGTCAAGCGGCGTTAGTTTCGGGAACACTTTCTTGGCCGCAGTGGCAAGCATCACACAAGTTAACTTGTCGATTGCAGGTCTTGAACTTTGTCAACACCGCATATCAATGGTACTTGGATGAGCAGAGCAAGATGCAGTCCAAGAGCAAAGCAAGATACATGTACGATTCTTGTCGAGACAATCATTATCATCGTCCAGAGCTGTTTCAGATTGTGGTGATGTCTTCCCAGAGCTGTAATATACAGCATCATGACACACTTGGTCAAGCTTATGCCCAGGAGATGATACCAACAAAGGGTGAGGGGGAGGAGAAAAGGTCCTTCCGGAGATACAAACTGTAGCAAGCTCAGAAATTTGTGTGCCAGCATGCTTGCTGAGAGGGATGGCCTTTCTGTCCTGATATTAGGTCAGGTGAGAAAAGCTTTTCAAGTCTATTCTTCCCTGAGAAGGCTCTGTGACACCGATCCCATTGTTCCATCACAAAAAGTGACGTGCCGATGAGGATGCATTGGTGCAGCTTCTTGATCACTTTTTGCATCGTTCTGGCAAGTTTGGAGCTGAGCCCGCAGTTGTGAAGTTGTGCCAAGTTATGTGTGCACGAGAGGGTAAACGAAATGCACGCACTGAGTCAGGTACAGCATTCCTGGATATCCTCACAAGCTTGGTCTGCTTCTTTATGGACCTCCTGGAACAGGCAAAACATCCATGATCAAGGTACTGGTGGGGCGCTCAAATTTGGTTGGCTTCTAGTGCTTTGACTTTGAAACCAGCGAGTAGATGATTGAAGAGATTTGACTTCACGAGTTTCTTATGCACGAGTCTGGAGACCTTCTTCGGACCGTTCATGCGGTCACGCATGCCCAAACATTCTTGGCAATATTCCATCCTGAAGGACTTGGCTTACCCAAAAGATGATTTTGTGTCTCATGCATACCTCGTGAAGCCCACATTGTGGAGTAGCAGAATCACCAAGCAAGACCCGATACACATTCTAGAGCTCCACTCAACGTGCCACTCACAGTAGCACATGCCTGAGTTGCAGGGACTTCCACACAGAACCGTCATTTTGGAACAACAAGAGCTAACAGATTCGAGGCCAAACGCAACACTTTCAGAAACAGCTGCGGCGGCAGCAGATGCCAAAGAGGAGAGGTACGTAGCTGCAGCAGCAGCATAGCAAGCGGCAGAGCGATAGGGCGTCAGCATGAGCATTGGAGCAGTCGTGACATGACCCAAAACATTGAGCTATCGAGTGATTGGACATCGTTTGCTGTGACACATATGCACAATTGCCGAAGTGACATCAGTTGTGCTTCAGAACCTAATCTACCCCTGCTTGAACACTTTGTTGGGATGCTTGCAATCCCACACCAGAGTAGAACTTTCCGTGCCCTCTCATCCACGCATACCCGACAGCCGCCTGACAACCACTTGAGAATTTCTTTGCATGTCTGCCCTGCTTCCGAGAAATGCAGCGCCTCAAAGCATGTTGTTGTTTGAACCCTTGTGTGACTCATGTGCATTGGCAATGTCATGTGCTTACATGCCAATGTGGAAAGCATTGCACATCTTGGCACCACAGCAGCTGCAGAGCGGTAGACTAAGGCGCAACACACCGATCGCTCCATTGTGAACGTTCCTTTAGCGCGAATCAACACCAACACGGAGTTGATGCAGCTGAGCCCTGCTTGAATGATGAAGGGAGCCGGACATTTCTTGATTTCATTCGCTTGACACTGGCAGGCGCATACAGCATACGAACATCGAACTGAGGATATTTGATCAGAAATACACAGTGGAGGGCATTGAAAGTCCTGTCCGACTGAGAATCAAAGATGTGATTTTCGTGATGGAAGATGCTCGACTGCACTGGTGATTTGCTCCTATGATGTTTCAAGGAAGGAATTTATGGACAGCTCTAACTTTGGAGTTGTGAGCTGTGGAACCATTCGAGCTGTGGTCGAAATATCCTGTAGTCTATGGTCAAGTTGGGAGGGACCTCAGAGGACTCTTTAAAATTCGGCCACAAGCCAGGAACTTTCAGAATTTTCCATGCCCTGCAGGGCAGCTGCATATTTTGTTCGTTGCTCATGTGTCACGGTGTATACCGTTCTCAGCTGGAACATTTTCCTGTGTTCGTGGTTGGAGTGGAGTTCAGGAGGTGTGAAGAAGGTTATATACT